TCCTCCTGCTAGTTCTGAGTATATTCTAATTTTCTATTTCTTCATGATTCAGTCAAAGTAATTTATGTGTTTCTAGGAATTTTCCGTCTAGGTTATACAATTTGTTTACTTATAATTGTTCATAGCACTTTCCTATAATTTCAATGTCCCTATTTTATTTCTGATTTTAGTAAGTCTCTATTTTTCTTGGGTCAATATAGCTAGAGTTTAATTATGTTTATTTACCAGAATAACCAACTCTGGAATTTAATGATTTTCAAAAATATTTTTCAATTTTCTATTTGAATTATCTCTGCTCTAATCTTAATTATTTCAGGACTCCTGATATCTTTTGATTTAGTTTTCTCTTCTTTCTCTACTTCTTCAAGGTATAAAATTGTTGTTGATTTTAGTATGTATGTGTTTACATGACTGTTCAATCCAAGTAGTTTACAATATGGTTCAAGCCCTATATTTTCTTATTGGTCTTCTGTGTGATTGTTCTATTCATCATTGAAAATGGTGTATTGAAAATCTCCAGTTATGGAACTATTTCACCCTTCAATTCTATGCATGTGTGGGTTATGTATTTTGAAATTCTAATATTTGGTGCATATATGTTAATTGTTACATATTCATGGTTAATTGCTCTGATGAATATAACAATTCTCTATATTTCATAATTTTCACATAATTCTATTTTATCTAATATTAGTATAGCCATCTCCAAAAGCACATGGATCTACAAATTCAGTATGCTCAACAAACTCCACGTAGAATAAACTCAGACAAACACACTGTAATAAAATGTCAGAAAGACAGAGGAAGGATCTTGAAAGCAACAAGAGGGAAGATGTGTCGTGCACAAATGACTACCTCCATGATTCCTCCTGGCACTCTTGTTCAGCTGCCAAGAAACATCAAAGCAGGCTGTCCCTTTCCTAGAACTGCCCATCTTTCTTCCTGACTTATGAAATATGGATTTTTCTCCAATGACTTCATGTTTTTTCTCTTACCTCATAGAGAGTGTTGTTAGAGATCACTGAAGGGACAGGTTTAGATTCCACTGAAAGCATAGACGTTGATGTCTTCTCTGACTGATATTGGTAAAGAAGGGAGGAAGGTGGGTTGATGGAGGTAACACCACATCTTCCATGTTTCACATAAATATGAAACAAATTCCCTAACTTACTTCTTTTTAAAGCTTACTGGAGTTATTTTACTCTGTGAAAGCTAAAAAGCAGAGTTAATAAATCTTGTCCTAAGATTATTCAGTACATACGTATCTATCTATATCTATATCAATGTTTATGAAGAGATTCTAGAGAATACAGTAGTTGGCAATAATATCCTATTATTTGATGTTTAAAGAATCTTCTCCACTAACCACTTCCTTCTAGGCAGACACAAGCACATTTTTGGTAGAAGGAAACAATAAAATATTTTCCTTGATTTGCAATATAACAATGCTGAGAAAATTTTACACTCTTCACAAGGAAGTTAAATCTAGGAGGTATTTCTTAACTAACCTTTAAAGGCATTAGTAATAGCAGGATATTTCCTCAAAGTCCAATTTCCTCTTGGGCTTTTTTATAATTCCTGGAACCAAAAATTAATGTGTGCTTAGGAAATACTGACAACCATTAGTTGGCAAGTGTTCACATGCAAAAACTTCTGGGGATTTTTGAAGCCTCTCCAACAATATATGACATCAAGATGTCATAATTATGTCTATCACATGCCAGGAGAACTTTTCAAGGACAGAAAAAAAAAGCATGAAATTATTTCTCATTTGTACTAATTGAAGCACTCTCCGAATTGAAATAAACTCCTGGTCATTATCAGTTAGTCTTATTTCATCCAATTCAACTTCTTAATGGCAGACCTCATGTGAAGTTCCCTTCCATGGGTTAGCCCCTTCTCTAAAGCCCCAATTTTTCTTAGTTTCCCTGCTTACTCTGTCCGTTCCAGACTAGACTGAACATCTTGCTTCTATGAAGAAATTAGACCCCTCTCTCTTTAGGATCCAAGCAAATCCATCCTGTTCCACATAGAAGCAAGTCCATTTTCACCTGTGACTATGGCCCTGAATGCAACCTCCAATCAGAAGACCATATTCTTCATGTTTTAGACTTATCATGCTGTCGCTCTTTGAACTAACACTTTAGTATATCAATATTCCATTGATCCATGTTCCAACTCAACTCAGGGAATGTGTAGCTCACAAACCCATTCAGCAATTCAACAAATATACATTGATAGAGAAGATGTAAGGACAGTGCATCTTGGGAGCTAGGGAGGAAGGCAAGTAAAACTTTTTGAAAACTTCGTTACTTTTCTTCCTACCACCTCCTACTTCCCTACTATGTGCTTCTGGAGTCTTGTAAATGATGATTTTGTGATACATTGAGCCCGCAAATTCATTGCTAATCTATAAAACAGAACAGTAAAAGTCTGGAGAAAGATGTGGATAACTCAGAACCTTATACATTGCTAGTTGGAATGTGAAATAGTGAAGCAACCTTGGAAAACTGTCTGGCATTTCCTCAAAATGTTACTCATAGAGTCGTCATATGTCCTAATGATTCCATTCATATGTATTCCAAGAAAAATGAAGATATATGGCACATAAAGGATTTGTATAAAAGATCAGAATTATCCATAACAGTTAAAAACAAAATAATACATCTGTTCACCAACCTAAGGTTGGATAAATAAATGTGTTGTATCCATACAAGGTAGTGCCATTGAGCCATAAAAAGGAATGCCACACTGACCCATGCTTCCACACGGATGAACCTTGAAGATACAATGCTAAGTCAAAGAAGCTAGTCACTAGGATAACAAATAATGCTTGATCCCACCTGTATGCAATGTTTATAAAAGGCTAATCTGTAGAAATAAAAGACAGATTCCTGGTTCCCAGGGTCTGGAGAGAAGGGGAAAGAAAGTACAGGATTTCTTTTGAAGGTGCTGAAATTATTATGGAATAAGATCATGATGGTTATTGCAAAATTTGTTGCTGGTGCTGCGGCTCACTAGGCTAATCCTCCGCCTGTGGCACCAGCACCCCGGGGTTCTAGTCCCGGTTGGGGTGCCGGATTCTGTCCCGGTTGCTCCTCTTCTAGTCCAGCTCTCTGCTGTGGCCCAGGAGGCAGTGGAGGATGGCCCAGGTCCTTGGGCCCTGCACCCACATGGGAGACCAGGAGGAAGCACCTGGCTCCTGGTTTCAGATTGTTGCAGTGCGCCGGCAGTAGCGGCCACTTGGAGGGTGAACCAATGGAAAAAAGGAAGGCCTTCCTCTCTGTCTCTCTGTCTCTCTCACTGTCTAACTCTGCCTGTCCCAAAAAAAAAAAAAATTGTTAACAGTCTCAACACTGAATTGTGCACTCTAAAATAGCAAACCCTATGGCACGTGAATTATGCCTCAATAAAAAAAGTCACAGAACAAACAGACCTTACCCCTGGTGGTCATGGAGGAATTGGGTTAGATGGTCTGGAACAACATCAGCATCTCTGGCCACAGACATGCCTCAGGGTAAAGTACTCCAAGAAAAACACTGTTTCTTTTGTCTACCACATTCCCTGTCAAAGTTATTTATTTTTTCTAAAGCCCAACTTGACAGAGAAGTTTGGAAAAAGTACAGCTGGGCAGAATTTGATTGTATCTCTGGGCCCCACACTCAAAAGAAACCACCCATATCCATTCCATCTCGTTGCCCCAGTGCCACATCTTGGTTATCTCACGTGGCAGCCACTGAGGTGTCCCCAGGCCCAGCCTTCTCCCCAGTTCTAACACAGTTCCATAGAGGACATGGAAGATAGGCCTAGGGCCGAGCATTTGACCTACTCCTGCCCCTACATATATTATAGGAAGGATTTTTTTTTCTTTTGGAAATATAGAATAAAAAGATTTTATCCCTTAGATAGAAATAGAAATTGTCCTGCATGGTATGGGGTAGCAAATAAACAAACAAGTCCTTTATCCAGGCTATTTGCCTTGAAGTCTCACCTGTACAGTTCACTATGTAAACTAAGATCTTGTTTAAACATCCTACATCTCAGTTCTGCCATCTGTGAAATGGGAATAACAAAGGTACCTACTTTAATGAGTTGTGTACAGCATAAGTGGATATAAACTTGCGTTCTTGCTCAATAAAGTCAACAGTTACTAATATCTCCAAGAACATTGTGCATATGCAGAGAAAAAGATTCCAGAGAAAACAGACTTAACAATGATATTCAAAGAATATGCTTACTTCACGTAATTTCTTCCAGGCATTAAACTCTGGCATCTAGCCTATTAGTCTGAAGTCAAGGCATTAAATGCTTAGTTGACAGAGTAATCTTGTAATCCTGACAGCTCAAGCAACTTTTCTTCTGATTCATTTTTATATGAAATATTTGAAAGCAAAATGATTCTTTTTTGTTACGATTTTTATTTGTCAAAAAGTTAATGCAACAAAGTAAACAAATTCTACCTGACCTTAAGCAACAGAAACAATCTGGGTACAAGGGGCTGGGAGGTAACAGGGAGGACCACTACCAAGCAGAGTGTTGAAGGAAAGGTGGCAGAACTCTGATCTGCATGATTTGCTGAGACACAACCTCAGTGTCTCTTTGACTTAGAATTATTTTCCTGGTTAAGCAAGTACAGAATAAATAGTAGGGAAATTGATTGGTAGAATGAATGGAACATATCAAAACTGAAAAACAGCAAATGAACATTTTTAGTAGTTTAGTATTCAAAGTATGCCTTGAAGACAACCCCGCATCCAAGAAAAGTAGAGTTGTTTAAAAAAAATGACGAAGTATATCAAGAAATAAAGTTAAGGTTGCAATTTCAAGCTTATTCTCATTAGCATTAGAAAGGTAATCACACGTATTTTGAAAGAGCCAATGATTATGAATGACTACAAATTTATAATTTTTCCATAGGTTAAAAAGGAAGTAGAGTGGTAATATGGTAATCCTGTTTTTTCTGATAAATTTGCATAGCCATAAAAACAGCATTAACCCGATTGAGAAATCAGAAGTTGATTTACTTGAAATGACAGCTGTGATGACAAAGGAGAGGCTTCCAAGAGGACAGCTATATATGTAGGATCCAGCCATTCACGGCAGAGAGACTATTAGGCTCCCTGCCCACCTCTGCTTCCTGCAAGCACTCAGGTAAGTGCTTCTACATTCCGCAGCTTAACAGCATAAATTTCTTTCATCTACATTATTCAATCTCCTTGTATTTTCCTTATTCTGCCAAGGCAAAATTAGAATTTCATCTGGTTTGTCCTTGTTCTAAATTATTAATTTCCAAGGAAAGAAATGCACATTTACAAACAAAAATTCAGAGAGGCATCTCATGAGAGCATGCTGGATGCTACTCACAGAAACCTCCATCTTGGCAGTTGTTTAAAGCCTTCCCACCCAGACTGCTGCAGCCAGTGATGAAGGAAAAGCCAACATGTCGCATTATTTACTTACAAAAGTCTTAATAGAGTGGTGATTGCATGAGTCTTCCTATTATGAGATTGATGCATGTATATTGTGGAAGGCTTGAAAAGCAAACCAAAGAAAAACTAATTGCCACTACAAACGTCATTCCCCTCAAGAAAAATTCATTACAGAGCTACACTCTGTTCAGTAAAGTCATTCTAAACTGAATCTGTTGCTTTTCCAGCAGTTCCAGATCACACCAAGATCACCATGAGTTCACTCAGCAAAGCCTACATCCAGCCCACGCTTGATCTGTTCCAACTGTTAGGAAAATCAAAGGAGGAAAATGTCTTCTACTCCCCTTTCAGCATCATATCAGCATTAAGTATGCTCTTTTTAGGGACCAGAGAAAACACTGCCCAACAAATTGCAAAGGTAGGTGTCAGCTTTATTGTATTCATATGTCTGAACTTTTCTCTCCGTAACTCTACTGCTAGCAGATTTAGTACCCTCATGGATGGCAGACATTCACAAGACTGTGCAGTCACTGAGCTATGCAGTAGATACACTGCCCCCAACTGCTTGCCCACCTGCTTCCCTGTTCCTGCATATTCTGTGGGAGGTGGGACAGCCTCTTGCAACTGCACACAACTAGCCGTGAACTTAAAATGCAATGACTGCTGGTGGAAGTGATGCAGTGACTTAAATTCGATGGGAACATTCTCAGATATTTCCTCAGCAATGAATGAATGAGGATTCTTGAAAGTGGCTTTGACAAATTACTTTGTTGTTTTTTGAAGAAACAAATTTTACACTGAGGTTTTGGGATTTTTTTTCCTCTGGTTTCTGTGTGTGTGTGTGTGTGTCTGTGTGTGTGTGTTCTTTGTTATGCTTTGTTCTTCTTTCCTTGTAGCAGATATTTTGAGTAAATCTTTATTGTCCCAACTTCTGTCTCTTCTAGGTCCTTCATCTTCAAGAAGACACAGAGAACACAAAAGACACAGCGTCAACCCACCACGTGAGCCACAGAGCGTTTCCATTCTGAGAGTTGCAGATATCTGAGAATTTCATATAAAATCACAAATACAATTTTTAGGGGGAAATGTAGACAAAATAATGGGAAATACGGAAAGATTTTAGTTATTGTTTTCATGTTTTTATTTTACTGACAAGGTCAGCATTATGCAAGAGTACAACAGTACTTCAAAATGTTCATGGAAAATGGAATTAAAAGATAAGCTAATTTTTATTATATAAATTTTGAAATCAATGCAATTTTTTCATAATACACATTTTCTGTGAATTTTTTGAAAACTGCTCACACTTAAGAGGTCTAAAGCCAGATAGGACAGATTCCATTTCCAGCTCTGTTCTTCATAAATAGTGAACATAAGCAAAACACAAGTGTTCTGAGTCACAATGACTTCATGCCAGTAAACTGGATATTTAAAAAAGGATGTTTCAACACATGAAAATACATGCAAATACTTACAACAGGACCAGGCCTGTAGAAACAATGTTAGTTGTTATTACTTAAATATTAATACAATTATGGTAATCACAAAAACAATGATAAAATAATTTAATTATGAATAACTCATTAATAGAATCAAGGTGAATAAGCACAAGTCCATGTGTATTTTGTATAATAATTGCCATGAGATATATCAGTTTCAAAACACTAGTGCAAAACTTCTTAATTAGCAAGTAAAAGTTTCTAGATTCAGACAGGCTTATGGTCAAAACATGGCTCTTCTAATTTATTCTCCTTGGAGTGGTCATTTAATTCTTTTCATATACAGTGAAATAAAGACTTACAGATACTGGTATAAGCCCCCAGTGGAGTAGCAGGCATATGCTGTTCTTATGTGCAGAGGATGACCATCATAAGGGAAGAGTCATAGACTTCAATTAATTTATCTCAGAAGATAATACAATCAAGGAGTATAACAGAGCTTCATGTTATAACATATTTAAAATACTTAAGCATCAATATAACCTATCTTTGATGGCTGTTAGAATTTAAACATGGTTCTTACCTTGAGGAACTTAGAGTTCAGCTGAAAAATTAAACCTAACAACTGAAACCAATGAGAGGACAATCTAATTGTAGAATACTGTTGTATCTTCAGTTCAAAAGAGAAAAGTCTGGAATACATCAGAGAAGGAAGAAGTAATTTACTGGAAGTGGTTGAACATAAGTTATGTTTTGAAGGATTTTTTGAGGTAAAATACACCAAACATCAGAAATTAAGCACAAAGGACATCTTTGAGAGACCAATGTTTAGGTGTTGATCTAACAGACCTAGTGTATGCTTAGTATTTACGGTGACAGAATAATCAGTGAGCTTTCTTTTTGATTTTTGAAGGTTGAGAGGTCAGAAAATGTGCATCTCCAATTTCAAAAGCTTCTAAATGAATTAAACAAACCTACTGATGCCTATGAGCTGAAGATTGCCAACAAGTTCTATGGAGAAAAGACTTTTCCATTTCTTCAGGTAAGTTTCACATCTGCTCTACCGCATGTTTCATCTTCAACCTGGGTCTTGGCCAAATAGGCAAGCCTGAGGCAGATGAACCTTGCTGACTTATATTTATCCAGAAAACAGTATTTACCCAGGGAACATCAGACCCTTTACCACAACTCTACCTACAAATGTAGCAGACCCTGAATATAAGGGTAAAGTATATGTGAGATTGAGAATTATCTTAAAATGAAAGAGGAGGCTAGGAAACAATTGGTTATGAGGTGCCTGATTCAGTCACATAGACATGCTTTCATGTGTATGACTAACCAGCTATTACTGGAATACACAGTCTTGGGTGAGTCCCTAGGGATAGATGGACAAGTATCAGGGAATACTGAATTCCCAAAATGGAGAAAAAGAAAAGTAAGTGCTGAAAGTACTGATGAGAGGTCTCAGAAGAAATTTGTGTCCTTTGGGACAACTTGCTTCACCATTTGCAAACCACAACCTCTGGATCCTGCCTTTTCCCAGATGTCATTGACATCCAGTGACCTCCTTCCTGCATGAAAGGGGACTTTCATGCTGCCAATGTGGCATTTGTATAAATATGTGCATGGGCAGAAGATAGTGGATTTAATCAGGATCCTAATTCAGCTTACTGTAATTATAAACAATTGAGTTTTGTAATATACAGTTGTTGATAAGATTATCCTTCTTTCATTTTTTGTTCCTTCACATCTCAAAGGAATATTTGGATGATATCAACAAATATTACCTCGCCAATGCAGAATCTGTTGATTTTGCAAATGCTGCAGAAGAAAGTCAAAAGAAGATTAACTCCTGGGTGGAGAGCCAAACAAATGGTAGAGTATGAGAGGGCCACCCATTAGAAACACTGTTAAGTCTCCTTGTGAGTGACTCCTCAGCATGCAGTACTGGGGCAGTGTGTTGAGATGGACTTGCAGAGGATGGAAGAGACAGTGCAGATGGTGGAGTAGCTCAAGCAAATGTGAAGAGAGCCCAGGGGAACAAAAGAAGGGATCACAGGAAGCCAATTCTATGGAAACAGCAATTGGGAATTGTTTGCACACGGCCCTACATGACAATTTCTCTGTAGACCTCAAGTATCTGCTCAGACCCATTTTGAGACCATATCTTTTTCTCTAAATGAGAACCAACTTTTGATTAAGGATCTTTAAGAGGAAAAACTTGGAAAGAGTTCCCTTCCCCTTTACTAATAACAAGCAGCCCACCTCAAAACCACCCTGTTTGCCATCAGAACTGGAGCTACCTGGACCACAGCTCCATCCACATGTCCTTCAGAGATTGTCACATCTGTCTTCCCCATCCATGGCATGTTATAACATGCCTTCATCCTATAGATGCCTAACCTACAGCCAACTTCTCATTGTAGGCTAAGCCTACAGCATTTCAACATGAGAAAGAATAGAAAAAACATCCCAGAGAGTAGTATCTGATAGCACAGGACACATGATTCAGACTATAGAGCTCACACCATTCATACTAAGAACAATTAAATCCTATTTCTTGTGAACCATGAGTCCAAGATTGGGGTAAGGAGCAGGATAAGAAGAAAAGTAGGGAAGAAAAAAGGAAAGAACAAGATTGAGCTATTAGATAAAATCAGTTTATCGGTATTCAATATGAGGCGATCAAGTCACTTGTAGACAACCCTGAAGTCTTTTCACATCACAAGAAGGACTATCTCCATCACAGGTAACTAACAGGTCGGAGGCATAAGGAAAGGTACACCAGGTGAACCACTAGCCAGTGAGTCCCTGAAGTGTTGCTTTGAGTAACTCAGTGATCCCTGGAGAAATTCTGCAAAGTGTCTTCCAGACAAACCACTTGCACCTTGCATGACAGACTACTTTTCCCCTTCCCTTGCAGGAAAAATCAAGAACTTATTTCCTAGTGGGACTCTCAACAGCACCACCATACTGGTTCTGGTGAATGCCATCTATTTCAAAGGGGAGTGGGATGAGAAGTTTAATAAAGAAAAGACCAAAGAGGATAAATTTTGGCTAAACAAGGTATCATCTTTATTTATTTATATAGTATGCTGTAGTCATATGGAACATAAAATGCATCTGGTGGAATGTAAAACTACAAGAACAAAATAGACCATGTCATGGCTAGGTTGTTGCTTTATTTTTATAACTCTAGCTCCAATGCTTCAAGACATTTTTATCCTACTTCACAAAATTCCTGTGTTTTCTCTTCAAAATAGAAAGATATATTTTATAACTCAATGATGATATCTTTTTTGTTTTGTGTCTCACTTGGTATTTATTTGATGAATAATTTGTTGCAGAATACAAGCAAACCTGTGCAGATGATGAAACAAAGGAATCATTTTAATTTTGCTTTGCTGGAGGATGTGCAGGCCAAGATTCTGGAAATACCATACAAAGGCAAAGATCTAAGCATGATTGTGCTGCTGCCAAATGAAATAGATGGGCTGCAGAAGGTAAAATTTTGCATCTCTAATTCTTTCTCTTGTAATCCAATCTCTTCCTAAGACAAAATCTAAATTAAAAGTAAAATCTTTTAGATCTAGGTGCTCCAAGGTAATGAAAAATTGAAAACAAGGTACAGAGATTCATCATTGTATTACAAGTATTTTAGAACAGGGATGGATACACACTGAAAGTTTAATTACTAAATACAGCATATACATTAGATAGCAATTTATCTATTATGTAATAATTTAAATTTTGTTGAAGTATTTAGCAATGTGTAAAAATGTTACAAATATGTCAAGCAAAATGAGAGTAAAAGAGTGCACTCTATAACTATATTATTCAATGAATAATATTTACAGGAAAATAAGAGAAGTCCTAAACATTAACACATGCACTAGGTTGGTAGCATAAGGAATAGTGATATACAGTTTATTTTGTACAAAATAATGTAATGATTATGGTTTCACATATGCATATATACACATATGGACATGCATATAAAATAAAAAACATACTTCAGTTTCAGGGCTATTACTTTTTCTTATTGAAATAATATCTAAAAATGAATTTTTATATTTTACATATATTATTAATATAAAGATTTCTCACATATTCAACTCATTGTTTAGATGTGTTCAATGTTTATAATTAATCATGGCATTTTTTTTTTACTTTTATAGCTTGAAGAACAACTCACTGCTGAGAAATTAATAAAGTGGATGAGCTCACAGAATATGAAAAAAACATATGTGAAATTACACTTACCTAAGTTCAAAATAGAAGAGAAATATGAGCTCAGTTCTGTGTTGGAAGCCATGGGGGTGGTGGATGCCTTCAGTCCACAGAATGCCAATCTTTCAGGAATGTCTGAGCACCAGGGTCTTGTGGTATCTAAAGTCCTACACAAGTCCTTTGTGGAGCTGGCTGAAGAGGGAACAGAGGCTGCAGCAGCCACTGGCATGGTAATCAGGGTGACATCAGCACAAATGCATGAAGAATTCTTTTGTGATCACCCTTTCCTATTCTTGATCAAACAAAATAAGACCAATAGCATCCTCTTCTTTGGCCGATTCTCTTCCCCTTAGACGCAATTAGCTTGTCACTACTTTTGGGGAAAGTTTACAGGTTCATTTCAGTAAATAGCTTGCTGGCAACGACAGATTCCCCTGACTCATTTTCCTTTCCAATGTCATAGTCATCACTAAGAATTTAATAGTGGAAACAGCATATCTCTATCATTCTCTTTCTATGTACACACATAAACTTACTTTTTCACCCATAAAAATTTCCTTTGGGGAAAAACATTTCACTTCAAGATAAGATAAAAGGATATTTCCATATTGTATTTTCTAAATTTGAAATATAATTCTATGTGTGATCCATTTTAAATCAATCAAACCAAAGTATCCTTTCTCTTTAAACTTATTAACCTAGACATCCACATTTCTTTAGGTTTAGGTGATATCTGGAACCCTTCATAAATTTACCAATTTTGTGAATCTGTGAAACACATTATCAATAAAACTTTGACTTACTCCAATTATTTGTTGTTTTGCCTTTTTCTCTTCAATAATGCTCAAGTGATCAATCACACATAAGAAAGATAATTTAGAAATACCCATATATTAGTCAAGTAGAGAGAAAAATTCAAAACAGTTGGGCATGATGAATCTGGAGTGGTAGGCAAATACACTTCTGTACATATTCATTTTACATTTTTGAATATCAAAGAAAATTTAGAATACTAGAATATGGGAAAATGGGTTTATTATATTTATCAACATCAGAAAAAAGATAGTAGACGAGGGTGTTTAGCACAGTGGTTAAGCTGCCACTTTCAACACTCACATCCCATATTGGAGTGCCTCGATTTAAGTCTGAGTTGCACTTCCAACTCCAGCTTCTCCCTAATGCTCACCCTTAGAGACGGCAGCTGATGGCCCAAATTATTGGGTCATTGCTACCCATGAGGGAAAATCAGATTGAGTTCCAGGTTCCTGGATTTGGACCCTCCCAACGCTATATGTTGTAGGAATTTGGGGATTTGGTGAGTGAACCAGCAGATAAAAGATCCTCTCTCTCTCTCTCTCTCTCTCTCTCTCTCTCCCTCTACCTCTCCCTCTTTCTCTTCCTGTCTCTCTCCCTCTCTCTCTCCCTACTCCTCTCTCTCTCTTTCCCTCTCCCTCTCTTTCTCTGTCAAATAATATTTTTTAAAAACATATTAATAAAATTGACCACAGCAACACATTTCTCTACAGGTTTGCACTGTCCAGTGTGGTAACTGTTAACCCCATGTGACCATTTAAATTTAAACTAACTAATATTAACCAAAACTAAAAGTACAGTTTCTCTGTCTCACTAGCCACATGTCAAATACGCAATATTCACGTATGGCTGGCAAAATCATATTGGACCTTGCAACTAGTGAACATTTCCTTCATCACAAAGCATTCTATTTGACAGCCATACTATAGATCCTAACAAACTGCTTGACAAAATTTAATATAAATGTTTCACAGGAGCTATCAATAAAATAAAAGAGAATGATTCTTTAACATATGAAAATACAGCTAACTAAATTTCAAATCCAAAATCAAGTTTAACAAGAAACACTAAAAACATTTGGAAGTAATAGCAACACTGAATTAAAAGAGAAGAAAAGAAAACCAATATTACTGCAATTTTATTAGTACTACACAATGAGTTGGTGAAGAATAATAATCACTCTATAGAGTGACATATGTATTTTTTGGAGGAGACAATAAACAAGCCATACACATGTACTTGTGTATACGTGTACCTTATCTTTGGAGAAATACATAAGAAATCATGCCATTTGTTATGGGGGAGGTAACTGAGGTTTTGGTGACATTGGTGGCAGAGAGACTGTGCATTATAAGCGTTTTTCACATTTGTATTTTCAATCATGGAAATACATTGTCTGTTTAAAATATCAATAAAATCTAAATCTTTAAAAATCAGCTGACTCTGATTCATCTTAGTATGGCTTTTACAGCAACATTGTAACTTACATTAATATAGTAAGAGCTATCCAGGAACACAGAGTTTGGCATAAATACTGCTACTAGAGTAATAAATGACCAGTGTTAAACAAAGCAGATTATTATGTAATTAAATGGGATTGCTATTGTTTACAAAGATTCATTGTATTTTTAGACATTGTATTTCTAATAAGTGATTTGGGCACCTATTATTTCCAAATATCAGGTCATATAAGTTTAAAGTAATAAATAGTAATGAAGCAACTAATGAAATGAGTTCAAAACAAATAAGAATTGAAAGTATATTCATGATCATTCGGACTTACCTCTAATGGTAGAGCTAGAAACGTGCCAGGGGATTCCAATTCATTCCTATCAAGGTGGCATGTACCAATGCCATCTTACCTGTTAAAGTGATCAGTTTAAGTTCATAATTGATCAAAAAGATAGGATTAAGTGTAAAGGGATTACATAAATAAGACCAATGTCTGCAAATAATAATTGATAGAATTAAAAAGGAGAGAATGACCCCACATAGGAAGCAGGATACACAGCAGGTTCATAGAATGGCAAGTGCCCTAACCAGCACTCTGGCCTCAGAATCAGCCCTTAAAGCATTCAGATCTGGCTAAAAAGCCGATGAGAGTTTCACAGACATTGAAAGCCAAGACACTGTGGCAAAAAAAAAAAAAATGACCTAAATGAAAGATCTCTGTGAGTGAGATCCAAGAGGAAAGAACAGGCCATCAAAGAAGGTGGTACCTTTCTCTGAAGGGAGGAGAGAACTTCTGCTTTGACTATGGCCTTGTCTAAATAAGATCAGAGTTGGCGAACTCAAGAGGCTTCTATGGCTTTGGCAGTTCATGACAAGAGCCTCGGGTGATTACTGACATCATAAATAAGAGTGTCAATTGTTAAATCAACAATGGGAATCACTGTGCACCTGCTCCCCATGTAGGACCTCTCTCCTTAATGTGTTGTACTATGTGAATTAACAGTAAAACTACTACTAAAACAGAAATACTATACTTTGGGTGTTTTTGTGGGTGCAGTCTGTTGAAATCTTTATGTAGTATGTACTAAGTTGATTTTCTGTATATAAAGGTAATTGAAAATGAATCGTGATGAAGAATGGGATGGGAGAGGGAGTAGGAGATGGGTTGTTGTAGGTGGGAGGAAGGTTATAGGAGGAAAAGCCACTATAATGCAAAAGTTGCATTTTGAAAATTTATATTTATTAAATAAAAGTTGAAAAAAAGAAAGTATATTGATAACCACACTGTTTTACATAATTTTTGGTGAGATATGGTAGCTATGATAGCAGATTTTGATTAATTGCCAGAATGTCAAATGAAGAACACAGCATCAATGCTAACATTTGTAAAAATAAAATCAAATTACAAATAAGATATTTAGTTCTCCTTATTGGAAATAAAGGAAGACACGCCCCCTTTTATCAGTATTTACTTTAGAAATTTGCAATTCTAAAAACTTTATCTTCTCCTTGGAAGGCATGTAATTCATTTTGAAGACTAAATAGGTCTTTTTCAGATTTATAATTAAAAAAAGTATTTGCCAAGCATATAAGAGCCATCTCTTTAAAATGTAAAATCAAGGGAGAAAGCACCCACATCTCTAGTTTCCATAGGAGTTGGGAGCCTAATTTCAGATGGCACCTGGCTCTAACGTGCAAAACTATCTTCTGTCCTAAAGATAGGAGAACCTTGCATTTCCTTGGATACTCCAAATAACTAACCCAGATGGTCACCCCAATTACAAGGTGAATCTAGAATGAATTATGTGTGACCTGTGGAACTACCAAGTCCTCTTACTTGAGGACTAGTTACTGTTTATCTTGAGGACTTGTGCGTGATGGGTTGTGTCTGTGTGCCCATATAAAAGATGAGACTTCCTTCTGTCTTTGCTATCTTTTAGTAGATTACTTGTGATGCACATCATATTTTGGTTGAATTCAGATTCAGTAGCAAAAGTGTTTTCTTTCCTATTATATTTGGAGAGACAATTTCTGGACTGGAAGGAGATTTTGTTTTAGTTGAGGTACCCAACACATTTCTTAATTTCAGAGAATATGCTTTGAAGACAAGAATCCTGAGTGGGACACTCAAAGAAAAGGTGTGTGGTAATTGTGACATTGTAGAAGGAGGTTCTCTTTTCTTATTAGCATCTGATACATTGTAGAATGGACAGATGACTAGGTATCATTTTATTAGGAGACTCAAACCTTAGTATCCTAAGGAACTTGGGGGTAGGAGTGCCTTAAGACCATATCAAGAGTGATCAAACTCATGGGGAATTTGGGACTTTGGTGCCGTGACCTCCAAATTCTCATCCTTAAATTGACTTTTCAAGTTTCTGAGATATGGTATCCTCAGAACTTTGACACAGCTGGAGTTCAGCCCCCTGACGATAGTTCTGAAACTTGTAGCTCCTTAATGTCTTGGGAGCATGAGAAGCCTCCCTGGAAGTCTTCAAGGAAAAGATTGGCATCCAGCATGAACCACTGGCAATTAGGAAGAGTCACTGCTACCTCACACAGCTTCACGAGCATTGGAAGTTGTTTTTTTTTTTAAAGAAAAAAAAAAGGTCACTTGCAGCTGGTTCATTTAGCTAATTTTAATACTACCATATAATTTTTTTTAACTTTTAGTGGTTATTAAAGTAGCAAATGTGGCCCAAAATTAGAATATTTATAAAATTGATTTTTTGTTCACCAATTGCACATTACCCCCATGAGATTGTCTGTTTAATTAAATATTTTTCATGAAGTAAACCAAATCTTCATGGTTGGAAACAGAATAGGTCTACCCAGGAGATTAAAAGTTTTCCCTTTCCCTCATTCTACCTCGCTTCTCCCTCCTATATTCAATTCTGCAATGTTTCTAAAGCGTTAAAAGCTTTTTAATTTAAAGTTTTTGAGTAACATGTAATATTTGTACATTTTGGTGAGGTACAGCATAGTAATTCAGCACACTTCTACAACATAAGCTAATCAACAGACACATAACCATTCATTTCTTTATCTTTTTGCATTTGGAGCCTACCAGCTCCTCTCCTTGAGGCCCTCATACAGACTATACTGCATTATTGTGAGTTACAGTCACCCACTGTGCTGTAGGACACCAGAACTCATATTTGTCTGCATTTTGGTGCCCATTATCTAACCTAGTTCAGATCTACTTTTTAAATTCTATTTATGATAGAGAACATGTGGTATTTGTCTTTCTGTGTTTTGTTGATTTCACTTAACAGTTCCATCTATTTTGTTGTAAATGACATGATTTAATTCTTTTTTATGTCTGAATAATATTGCGTTGTGTAGTTATACCATGTTTTCCTTATTCATTCGTCCATCACTGGACCTTTTGGCTCTTTTGAATAGTGCCCGAATGAATATGAGAGTGAAGTATCTTTTCCATATGGTGACTTCATTTCTTTTGGATATATTCCTGAAAGCAGCATAGCTGGGTCTTGTGGAAATTTCATTTTGCATGTTTTAGGGAACCTCCAACTGTTCTCTATAACGGTTGTACTAATTTTCATTCCCATAATCTCCTTTTGTCCATATCCTTGCTAACTT